ATAGTCCTATTTAAAAACATCTGATAGTTTACAGACAGGAATATACATTTTTTTAGATGTGAAAAAATTTGCAAATTTTGTTGCAAAAATATGTTAGTTCTTAATAAACGACTATGCATTATCCAATAAGATAGAACTTTCGCCAATAAGCCTAGCTTTAAATTATCTGATTTCGTTACATCCAAATAATTAACATCTAAAGGTTGCCACGTACTTTCAACAAAAACAGAAGGGTTTTGGATGATTACTTTCTGTCTCAATCTTTAATTATAAACCAGATTTCTGTAAAAAGTGAAGATGTATCTTTATAGACAAAGATGTATCTTTATAGACAATTGCATTCGGTAATCTTAAACAATGTCCAACCAATCTACATAACTTTTATACAACGAAAGACATACAATATTTCTTGAAAATAAAACCATCTGGCAATCAAAATAAGAGATGACACAATTAAGCTCGGAGGGCAAAACATTTCGCTAGGTTTGGTTCTTCAGTTGAAAAGGACCCCAAATCATTGCCGACTTTTGCATTTCATTGACCCTTTAAATGGCTAAGATACACACAGATGGCACCGCCTGCACACTCTTCTGCATGTCAGTCAAAGTTCTTTCTCTCGGCAAAATGGAGAAAAATTTGATTTGGGGAGTTTATTCAATTTGCTGCATGTGGGGGGTTGGCTGCCTAAAGGGGGCACCACGCACATCACATAGATACACACGCACACACACTCGCCCACTGGCATTTAAGTGCACGCCGTTCAACTGATGTCTGACGGACAACCAGAGTTATGGGCGAGTGGGTGGCAGAAATTGGGATTCGGATTGGATTCAGGTGGGTGGGGCCAGTGGGGGAGAGCGCTCTGAACTCTGCCAATATAATACAATCAACGTTGGGCTTCGATTCGATGCGCATTCGATGCGTTTGCCGCTTTTGAGGCAGTTGAGGTGGCTACCAGTCCAGCAGCTACCGATGCGTAGGCCCACCCATCCATACGTGAAACACCCACCTTCGCCCACCTCCACCCACCTCCACCCACATGTCCAACACCCCAGCACAGGCAGGCAGGCTTGGTTTTTGCTCTCATGTGCCGAGGAAGCCATTATACATAGGCTCGTTGCATTCACTCGCCCGAGTATTTTGTTCGATTTTCACTCTCCTTCTCGCTCGCTCCCTATATAGTCGTCCTGTGCTCCGAGTTCCCTGGCACGAGGAGGAGGCAGCTGGGTCCTGGCCACACATGCGTTTGGCCTTTTGCCTGGCACACATAGCAACTACATCAGGATGCTGCAGCAACAGCAGAAGCCGCTACAGCAGCAAGAACAACAACAGCAGCAATGGCAACAGCAACAGAAATGTCGCGCAGTGTTTCAATCGTTTTATATGGCGCAACTGCTGATTGGGTTGCCACAGTGGTTAAGAAGAATGCATTTGCTTACCTGAAAAAAAAAAATAAGAAACGAAAATAAATACAATTATATTATTTGTTCAATTTTTCCTATTACTAAACTAGGAATCAGTAAAATTATAAAAGAATAAAAAGAAAAACAATTTTTTTTAGTTAAAAATAAATAAGACTTAGACAGATATTATTATTTTACTATTTTACAATGAAAACAAAAATTTATGATTGAGACAATCATACACACCAAGCTCACAAATGCTCACTACATAGATAGGTCACTTTCAAATACGTGCCCGTTCTGCAACAACTCGACAATTAGCCTAAACCACATAATAATCAGCTGTCCTATCCCAACACAGAAGAGATATCTTTAACTCCGAAAACCCCATTCACTTCATTGCAAACCCTACTAACGTCAACATCAACAAAATTATCTCGTTCCTCCGTATAACTAATTTAGCACATACTATCTAAGAAAACTGTCCCTTAATTAAATATTCAGTCGAGCCGAAAGCCTTAGTTGCTAGCGCTCTAAAAATCCCCAGTTAGCTCATAGTTTTAACTGTAAGTTAGCTTTATATAAATAAATATAAATAAATATATAAATAAATGATTGAGACAATAGGAATATACCATCATTGTCAATATGGTTTTAACCAAATTAGGTCTTTTTTCCAATGCATGTTGAATTTAAGGGAGGTATAAAACATTGAAAATTCAGAGTTTAAAGCCTACTTTAACTACATTACAATTTGGATAAAAATCAACCAAAAACAAGAAAGGAAGCTACCTTCGGCCAGCCGAAGCTTATATACCCTTGTAGATAAAAGAATACTCACTCGGTGCAGTTCCAGGGATTCCAGATTCAGCGTTTCGATTTATTTCAATTTTGTTTTTAAGTAGTCAAGAATCAAAACGCCTACTTCCTACAAAGTTACAATGAATTTTCTTATATTTGTTTGGGAGCCTTAAGATATAGTGGTCCGATCCGGCTGGCTCCGACATATGTACTACCTGCAATAGAAAGAAGACCTTCGGGAAAGTTTCATCGCGATAGCTTTAAAACTGAGAGACTAGTTCGCATAGAAACGGACAGACGGACAGACGGACAGACGGACAGACGGACAGACGGACAGACGGACAGACGGACATGGCTGGATAGACTCGGCTATTGGTGCTGATCAAGAATATATATACTTTATGTGGTCGGAAACGTCTCCTTCACTGCGTTGCAAACATCTGACTGAAATTATAATACCCTCTACAAGGGTATAATGAGGGCCCAAATTTTAAAACAAACTTCTCGAAAATATAAATTTTAAATTTTTTTGGTCTATTCCATTAGATTTAGGGTCGCTTTCTTATCCACCAGTTAAACTTAATGGAAGCTTAAACTTTGATTTTTTAAAACTACAAAAATAATTTAAATATCGTGTTGTACACTTCCTTATCGTCTTTTTATTGAATTATTTAAAATAAATGATATAAATAGTGTGACCTTTCAGCAGGGCCAAGCTTCAATGTACAGCCACACTGAAAACTCAAGGGAGTAATCTAGTTAGAATTGTATTTCTGTTTTGACAGTTAGCTTGTTGGCTCACTGTGCACAAAAGCGCCAGCCAATGCAGCGACCAGAAAAACAACAACGACAGCGGCTGCAATACATGCGTGGGGAAAAGGCGCGAGTGGGGGGCGTGGGCAACGGGGGTTGAGGTTGAACATTTTGGAGATATGAGAGGGGGGTGGTGCGAATGGAAACGTGGACGGCGACGCTGGCGAAAATGGCGGCAGAAACAGCGACAGCGACGCAGCCTATTTCGGTGGCCAGAAATATAAAAAAGGGGCGTAGAAGGGGAGGGGGGGTTGGGCTGGGAGAAGTGGCAGCTGAGGGACAGAGTGCAATCCACTAGAGAGACAGAAAGAGAGAGCGAATGGGTGGGAGTGGGTGAGCCAGCATACACGCACACACACTGAAATGCAGTCGGGAAAACGGGAGGAAAACGAGGACCTGCACACAACTGCACTTGGGGACTATGTACGATCCGGATGTCGTGTATGTATTGCCATTGACCAGGACATTCCCCCCCTCTCTCTCTCTTTCTTTCTCTCTCTCTCTCTGAGCCCATCTCTTTCTGGCCTGCTCGCTTGTTTACCAATTTATTTTGCGCACAATACGAAACACGGAAAATGCATGAGGCCACCGGCAGTCTCCTTTCCCCAAACCTACCACCCAAAAAAAAATCACCCGATGCGTTCCAAACGAACGCAATGATAGCCACACAGCAGAGCTGGCCAAAAGCAACGGGACTAAAAAAAATTGCAGAAATTCCAGTTCGATTTTTGGCCATAATGCAAAAAAGCATGCTGCTCTCCTCTGTGTGTATTTGCCATCTCAGTTGCTCTTGCTTTCTGCGTTTGTTGTTATTTCCCGTTTGCCACTTTGTGCGGGGATTTCTGCTTTTCCCTAGTTTCCTTTCCCGGCTTTTCCTAGCTTTTTTCTAGACTTTCCTCGGTATTTTTTTACCGGAGCTCTGTTTGCTTTTATATTCTTTGCAGGCCGCGACTTCCACTTTGATAGAACGAACGCCGAGTTTTATTTTGTTCCTCCTTCTTTGTTGCCCCTGACTTTTGGCGAAAAAAAGGGGTTTTGGTGGTAGTACACACTCGTAGTAGCCCGTTTTTTTTACTCCATGTCCATGTCCCTTTCGTAGTAGTTAGTACTCGTGGTCCGAAGTCAGTCATCAGCCCATACGCAACATTTCTAGATGGAAAAAGTCACACAGAAATGGAACGAACGACGTATGAAAGGAATGCCAGCGAAAAATTGAAGGAAAATGGGGCACAAAGGATTCGAATTTTCTGAAAAAAAGAGGAAGCTTAGAGTGCCAAAAGATATTTTCATAGGCAAATATTCCCCATCTTCGTTTACTTCACACTATGGCATTTCAGTATCTTGAAGATTCTTTGCAATACATTTTAGCCTGAACGTTGGATGAATATCCTGGTTAAAACGCTATCGAAGAGGTCTTTTTACCAAATTACAAAAAAAATAAAAACCCATCAGATCAACCCACTATACCGAAAATGGTTGATAATACTAATAACTTATTAGGAATATTTTTATAGTCCTTTAATTATTCACATGAATGATAGTCGTGAGACAATCTGACGAAACTGGCATAATAAAAGTGGAAGACTATAATACAGTAGGTATAAAAAATAACTTAAACATCTTTCCTGCGGGTTGATCTGATGGGTTTTTTAGATCACAATTTTATTCCACTATTTTCGTTCATTTGAAAGATATGTTTAAAAGATTAATAATAACTGGATTAATTTTATTGGGATCTAAAAAACCCATCAGATCAACCCGCAAGACCCACAATATTGGTTATTAGAAATAGTAACAAAGTTATTATTAATCTTTTAAACATATCTTTCAAATGAACGAAAATAGTTAAACAGTCTTGCGAAACTGACATAAAAAGTGAACGACTATGTTCAACTAGAAATCTATTCCTTTTCTATATCCAAATAGAAAAAATCTAAAAATCTGAAAATCTATAAAATAAAAACACTGCCTAACCAGTGGACCATGTGGACGCTACTTCTATTCTTCGTTTTAATCGGACTGCTCACCCCATCTCCCTCGATCGCCAGCTGGAATGATGGGTTTCACGAGCATCTGGCGACATATCTGCGTCCTGGTGAGCCGCACATCCAAGACGGACAGATGCTGCTCAACATGCTGTACATGCACAACCAAGTGCAGGTCTTTTGCCAGCGACCCACACCTCTGACCTGGTGGAATGTCTTCCAAAGCAACCGCCTGCGTTTGCAAATAGCCGCTGGCGGGGATTACAGTCAGTATAAGGGAGCCACAATACGGGAAATCTTTCAGGCACATCGACTGCTCAACGAGTGCTACGAGGGAAAGCCATTGGGATCTTCAGCAGCGGAGCAACGAATTATTCCAATGACTGCCCATGAGCACGTCTGTTATGGGATCTACACCAACGAGCCGTTTGTTCTGACGCTTGAGGAGATCAGTTGCGATTTGGAGAGGATGGCGCAGTTTACCTTTGCCCTCGTCTTGTGGCTGAGCTGTCCGCATCTGGCGGACTCCCTGCTGGGCTTCTACTGCTCGGCGGCAACCGTGGGTGCTCATTTAGCGGGCGTGGCAGTGGTTGGAATTACCCTAGTTTCATCGAACAGCGAACGATCCCTCGAACTAAGAACCCTCAAGGAGAATTTCAAGGAGGTGCTTCAGGAACGTCCTACTGTGATGACCCTGTCTCTGGTGTTTGGTGCCTGGTTGCTCCAGTCCGCCTGCCAGCGGTTCTATTATCTTTGGCGTCGCTCTCTCCTGCGCCGCTTGCACCATCGCTTCTTGAGGATTACCTCCTACTGGCTAATCCTCAGCGCCTCGGATGACAGGACCTTTGGATGGATCTGCATATCCCTACTGATCCCTTGGCCGGAACTTTGGTGGCTGATGCGATGGTTAAGAATTAAATACGCTAGCTATCAGCAGGTTTTGAAAGATTTTCAGGAAACATCGCACCAGGTTTCTCGAATGCTGCAGCCGCGGATTTCGTCTAGATTTTCAGACGGTGGCATTGATTTGGGAATCGCTACTTCGGACAATGACTATATTTTATTTCCAAGAAATGACAGTTCCAATAGAAGTAATATGAACTTTTACCAGGAGGAGAGGGAACGACGCTACGAAGAGAGTGGCGATAGCACCGTATCAAACTTTCTCAATCGACCTTCCACCTGGAACTGCCTGAACAGGCGACTCCAGTTAACTCCTAACCAAACAGAGGTGATTCGCACCCGGTCCTCAGGCAGCCAAGAACCTTATTCCTCCCCCAAAGTTTCCGTGACTACCTTATACAAAAATCTCAGCTTCTCAAACTCCGAGCGCAGCCTCCGCGATCAATAGATTAAGTAGAGCCTGCACATCTACACAAACTGTTGAAGAAGTCCAGTTCAGTACAGAAATAAGGTATCTACGGTGCAATCGAATCGAAGAGTACGAGAGGCAAACCAGAGTTTTCCATTTGCCAGGATAAGTTGGGTGGTCGATGGGTGGCAACGTTTGAGTGTGGCAGACAAAGTGTTTCACAAGGAAATGTGAGGCGAAGGCTTCTAACCAGCTTCAAAACAAGAAAGCTCGTGAACGAGAATCATAAATTGACAACACGGTGAAAACAAAAGTTATAAAATAGTTTCTTTTAATTTATAAAAATTTATTCACGTTTGCTTGTTACCAAATCATTCTTTAAGTTATTAATAAATTTGTCTATTCCGTTTTTGGTTTGTTTATTTAAATTTTTTTATATTTTCAATTCTTGACCATGTGGCTTCATCGAAAAACAACTATCTAAGTATTTGCTATTTATATAGGGTTAATTATATTTTCAGAATCTTCAATGTATTTAACTTTAGTCAGCTCTTAATATTTTTACTTTAAGTAAAATGGTAGCAACCTAATTTCGAATGGCGAATTATTTCAGAGAGACATTATTAGCCAAATAAATTTTAATAAAATATTCCATCACTTATCGCTGAATGCATTTCCGCAAAACCCACGTGTAAAACCAAATCCTGGCTACGCTACTGTCTATTTTGGTTTCTTTAAAAAAAAATGGGCCTTAGGATAGACTTTAATTGTCTGAGAAGCTCGATTTTTTAGCCAGTTATTACATCACCATCATTTTCCAATGGTTAATGCTGGCCAAACTTGAGTTTAAATCTCCGCAGGACACTCCCGAGCATATGCATCCATACTGCTTTTAACTTAATTGTCCTGATTAGCATGCGTCCGTGTCTGTTATCCTCGTTGAAATTTTTGTGCTTTTGACATTCGTTGGCGCACGGAGTTACAAAATAAGAGACTAGCTTGCATGGGCTATATGGGGCTAAGGGGATAAAGGGGGGCGATGGCGGGGATTGGGGCACAAATGTGCCTATTACCTCCTCCCCGGCAGTTTACCATTAGCCACAGGAGCGGAGGAGGCCGATGATGATTCAGCTACAGCTGCATATGCATTCGCATCTGCAGCAACTGGAACAACAACAAAGTTCGGTCAAACGTCAGAAATGTTCGTTCGCTTTGGCTATTGAACGCAGGCCAAAGTCCAGTGCAAAACGCAGTGAAACCGGCCAGTACTACCTACCCATTGCCACCCCATCCATGCAAGGACCGAGGACCGAGGACCTGCGAGGAAATGCAAATGGGTAATGGGTAAAAAGCGCTTTGACGACCATGTGGATGGAGGCGGTTGTGGGGTGGACCAGGGTGGACAGTTGGCCGGGGCAGGCGCAAAACGCATTTCAAATCGAAAAGTGGAACTTCACTCATTTGGCGCGGGGAAACGGCGGCAGGTGACTAACTCTCTTCAGATAGGCCTGATTACAGGGTAGCAAGAAGAGGATATCGAAATGTGAAGAAGAAATTTAATAAGGCTACCTAAATATTTTTAAAATATAAAGTTTAAAAGCTTTTCCAAAAATTAATTTCAACTTATTAAACAAATTTTTTTATTTGTAAAATTTTTTTTACAAAATAAGAGTGTTACCAAGGAGCTAAATATAAAGTTTAAAAACTTTTCCAAAACATTAATTTCTATACTATTTATTAAAAAAAATTGTTTCTTTGATTTGTAAAATTTTTTTACTTTAAAAATAGGGTGTCAACGCAGCTACCCCAAATGATTCGATCATATTTAAGTTCTAGTTTGACTGCCTTGTTGGAACGAAAATTGACTAAAAGCGCCGTTTTATGTGGTTTATGTTCGGAGGCGACCTGTACAGGCGGGTTCCGTCGATATCTAATGGCCGTATTTTCCTATAACTCTAGAGGCTCGACCGTTTTCTATATCAGAAGCATATTTTTTTGGACTTGTCCGATTTGGTGGTTGATTTCCGCCCCGAAGAGTGCAACTAGGGGTGAAGTGGGGGTTGTGTTGGATTTTTGGGTGGGTTATGGTTGGCTTTAGTTGGGTGGTGAGGCGCGAATCGACTCGGGATGGTCGCTAAAAAGTGCATTTTCATTTCTGGTGTCCCGTTCGGGGATTATGGGGGTTGTGTGCATGGATGGCGTCAAAAGGTCAGTGACAGGGTGGAATATTATACAATATATTGTATAAGGAACATAGGACTCGACATTTTTTGAAAATTAGACTAGTGGTTATGCGAGTCTGAGTTTTTCAATGGTCTTAAGTAGCTAATTTTATTGAAATTTTGAAAAGATTATGTATATTAAAACTGAAATCGTTTGGAGATTTGAAATTTGGAGAATAGAAAATCCGTTTTAAATACCATTTTTATGTATTTAACTCTTTCTTTATATAAAAACACTTTAAAAACTTTTTTTTAGTGTTTATATTTAGTTCCGAAAACGTCTGTAGAACCAAAAGTACTACTGTAGATAAAATGTGTAACGAAAGATTGGAAAAAAGCTTAAAAATAAATAAAAACTAAGACCGATACTTTGGTTAAAAATCACAGTATGAAAAACTTAGTATCAATTTTTTTTTTTAAGACGTTTAATACCACAATTCGGAAGAATTACTGACCTGCACCATTTTGATCTCCTTGTAATTAGTCCTAATCCAAATTAGTTAGTAATCAAAATGCCGGTTGCTCTGCGGCTGGGCAACGGTAAATTGAGTTAGAGCGAGACGCCAGCAAAACAAATCGAAGGCAGCTACAACAACTGAACTTAAAGACGCGAGAGAGCGGCGCACGTGGTAGATTCACTTTTGTTTTAGTTGCGCTTTAATTGCACTGCCAGTCGAGAATTCATTGAATTTAAAGGAAACACACGCACACACACTCAAAACTGCATTGGGCGAATAGTGTGGGAGGGCAGGAGAGCAGCAGTGCAACGAAAAGAGCGGGAGAAGCAAAACGAAAGACACGCGGTTTCAATTTGTTTGCTGTGATTGTCGCGAAATTAGTACTTGTCTTTTGGAATTATCGCGGTAATTATTGCATTGCGCGAGTTTCAGTTGGCCATTCACGCCTTGCATTCAGCTGAGTATTTGTATTCGTTGCCGTTTTCCGTGCGCCGCCCGAACCGTTCGCGATGTTAGAAATTTCTGAATTTCCCAATTTCCCCGAAACAAATTCAGCTGATTTGGAAGAAAAGGTCCTAAAATTGGGTGTGGTATTTTTGGCAGTATATAAATACCGGAAAATCCCAATTTCCCCGATGTTTGGAAAAACATCGATATTTTCAAACTATCGCTGTAAAAATTGTATGATATCGATAATTAGCGTCGAAACCTGCACTCTCTCTCTGTTACCGCTCGCTCTCCATTTAACATAAATGTTAGGTTAAAAAACATTTCCGTTAGAAATTGAATTGAATACGTCATAAGATAAAATCTGTATTTTAGATACATAGATTAATTTAAATTCTTTCATATAAGAAACTCTTGTTTTACGATTTTTAAAATTTAAAATTATATTTTGTAAAACATTGCTTTAGGATCTCAGAAGTAAAAAACCACTTTTGGAAAAACTTGCTAGTTTAGTTTGAAACTTCTGAACTACTCAAGCTACAAGTCTATAGCTTTATCTTGTTCAAAGGGTTAAAGATAATCTGGGATGATCTCCCATTTACCCTGGGAATTCTATGTAGATTTTGGTGATTACAATTTCGTTTATAAATATTTCATATGTCTCGCTTCTATTCGTGAAATCTGTAAGATTATTAAAACTTCGGCAGGCCCAAATTAGTTTCCGTTTTTGTTCGGGAATAAAATCAGCTTATATTTTCCAGTGATTACATTTTTAGAAAAGTCGTAACCATTTTCTATTAGATCAGCAGCCTACATTTTCGTAATAATCTATTTAGAGTATTCCAGTTTGTGAGCGTTCTATGAGGTGATTCAGTGCCATCGGCTGCCAGTTGCTGAAGCCTCCATCGCTGACCATGCAGACGTGTCGATCGATGTAGCAAAAGAGCTTGCCCACGCGATAAATCTGTGAAAATAAAGAAATAAAATTATTATAGAAATAAATAAGTTTTAAAAAACTAATATTACAATTGATTCAATGAATTATTTTGAATTTTTTTGATTTATATGAATGAAGTAATTAGAATTTTGAGTTTAATAGAATGAATGAAATTAAATTTTGAGTTTAATGGCATGAATTCCGAAATAATTCAAACGAAAATTTATTTTAATCTGCCTGAATTTTATTTATAAAATGTTTTACTTTTTGTTCTCAAAAGGAAGTCCAAAAAAATGCTGGCACATTAAAAAAAATCATAAAAAATATTCATTCATTCATTAAATTCGAAATTAATTAGAAAAGCATTCAATTTGTTTCACGTAGAATCGAATTAAACAAATCAGAAACAAAAATTACATACCTGTTTGCCCAACTCCCTTCTCCCAGGAAGAGGAGCAAAGATTATGCCCAAATCGGCGCATTGCTGCGACACGAGCTCCTTGAACTCCAACTGGGCGGGCGGATGAATCAGGTCCATCATGATCACAGGAGCCGGTGGAACTGGCGGCGGGGGCGTGGCCGCAACTGTGGGCTGCAGCAGGGCGTCACTGGCCCTATGCATCATTTCCAGCGCCCGACGCAGATGCTCCTTGACGCTCGGCTCGCGGAGAAGTGCCTCGCTAAACATCCCCTTCCAGCCAGTGTACCAACGCGATATTTCCGCGTAATCTGGACTCTGATTCAGCCAGACGACGAGCACCTGCATCCAGCGCGGGAAGAAGTGCCTGTCCAGCAGCTGAGCCATATACATCGGGTCGATGAGCTCGTTCCACTCCCAAACCTGCTGCCACAGCTCCAGATCCTGGTGCAGTGGATTAATTACAAACTCAGCCAGTGTGGCCTGTAGCTTCGGAACAATGTGCCGCTGCAGGAACTCCTGCATCTCCTCCGCGGGAAAGGCCTGTTGCCAGGGCGTCAGCATGGCCCTGGCCGAGCGATCCTGCGGCGACCAGGCGCGCAGAGCCACGCCCAGTTTGCTGCGGATCTGCGGGTAGACGGCCTCCTCCAGCTTAGTGCCCAGTATGCCGTGCCATGGCAGCACCCAACTGTCGATGGGCACGGTGTCGGTGAGAGGATCCCACTCCTGAACGCCAGCTATCAGTCTAGGGAGCACTAGTTGCTCCAGGACAGAATCCAAAACCCAACTGGGCAGCAAGGGAGCCCAGGCGTCGAGCAGAGCGGCCATCGGTGGATGCTCCTTGGATTGCCAGGCGGCAACACTCGCCCGAAAAGAGGGCATCACCCCCGCCCAAATGAGTGAGGAGTAGGGATCAAAGACATTGCGCGGCTGCTGCTCCGCCGGTTCTCCCTGCTGCAGCATCGCCCGCCACTTCTTAACCAGCTGCAGTGGCTCCGTGGGCTGCTCCAGCGGTTGCCAATGCACCAGTTCCCTTTTGAGTAGCGGTGCTATCACGCCCGCCGCCAGATCCGCCAGGCCAAACTCCTGAAACTCGGCCGAGTAGTCTTCCAGGAGCTCCCGAAAGAGACGCTCTGCCTGAGGCAAACTCAAGTCGGGATTCTCGCTCAGCCGCTCCACTCGATCCAGGGATTCCTCTAGCGTACGAATGTGATTCCTCTCCAGTTGGACAATCTCCTCCAGCTTTCGGTGCTCGCTTTCCAGCGCGGCCTGTTGGTTGGAGCACTCGCGCTCTTGGTTGTCAATAGAAATTATCTGCTGCTCGCATTGGCTGACTAAGAGCTGCAGATTGTGCGTCAGTTCGGGCATGGCAAAGACGCAGACTGGTGCGGCTCCCTTTTCAGTGGCTTCCGTATCGTAGAGCGTCTCCTCCGGGGTAATTTTAGCCTGTCCCAAGGCGTGATAGCCACTGAGGACTCGCTTTTCCGGCCCCGTCATGTCAATCACGGGCACATTGCCTAGTTTCTTGCTCAGCTTTTCCGATAGCAGGTGACTCGAAGAGTGCCCCTTGGCGATCACCTCCTCGACGGACTTGTAGTAATACCGCTTGCCCTGTTTTCCCTCGGCGGGATCAACTCCTCCCTTGCGCCACTTGTTCAGCTGATCCTTGAACTCCTTCGCCTCGCGCACATCTTCGTCCACTTTGATGCTCTTGGTGGGTTTCCCGCCAATGCTGGCGGCAGTTTCGGGTCCATAGGCACCGATGGCTCCTCTGCCCTTGCGCACATGGGCCTGTACTGGCTGCGAAATGCCCTGCAGATCCTTGCCTAGGCCTTTTCCCGGTTCGTAGCCCATCTGGAGGAGCAGTTTGGCGCCGATGCCACGCGTATGCTGCTCCCAGGCGCCCACATTCCGCTCGCTGGCGATGTGGGAGCGATGTTGGAAGGGTGCACTTGCGGGTTTTCGACTCAAAGAGGGTCTTTCCTCCTCCGCGGAGCTGTTGGAGCTCTCCGGATCGCTCTGACCGAAGGCGGGACGTCCGCTGACAGCGGAATCGTCGCTCTGTTCCTGATCCTGATCAGATCCTCCTTCAACCTTCTCCTTTTTCTTCTTTTTGCCCGCCTGCTGAATTCCGCCGGCCACAAAGCTGACCGGCATGGTGTAATCCTTGGGCTTCCGGGCGGACCGCCCCCTCCGCGTGCCCCCGCCCTCGCCACCGCTCTCCTCCTCGCTATCGTCCGCCCAAATGCCTGCGGAAAAGGGATTTCCATTTAATTGCTGGCCAGGATTAGAGGACTCCCCTGCTCACCGTAGATCTGCTGGTGCCTGCTCTGCCGCCCACGGGGCCGGTTCATGTTGAACTCATTGTCCAGGTCGTAGTCCGTTATCTCGAACCGCTCGTACTCGTTGTCCGACATTCTAATAGCACGTAAATCTGCACGAAAGGGTTTTCGAAATTTCTGTAAACAAAACACACAATTGATAATAGAGATGGGACTTGGGGATACTTCACTTGCACGCCAGCTATCGCTTACAACTATCGATTGCCAAGAGGGAACAGAAAATACCGAATAAATACCGAAAAGTAATTCAATTGTGGGGAGCTGGTCTCTCTAATAGCCGCGAAAAATTCGAAAGAGGACTAAGATTTTTATAACAAGAGAGAACGCTATAGTCGGGTGCCCCGACTATCAGATACCCGTTACTCAGCTAAAGGGAGAGCGAAGGAGATGAAGATAAAAACTTTGATCCGCCGTAACTTTTTAACGAATGGTCCGATTCAAAAAATATTTTTAAAATCGTATATAAGCGATTGTGGGCGTTAGAGGGGGCGTGGCACCCTTTTGAAACAAACTTGCGCTGCGTATTAACTCCTAGAATCTGCATGCAAAATGTCAATCTTCTAGCTTTTACAGTCTCCGAGATCTCAGCGTTCATACAGACAGACAGACGGACAGACGGACAGACGGACATGGCTAGATCGACTCGGCTAGTGATCCTGATCCAGAATATATATAGTTTATAGGGTCGGAAACGCTTCCTTCTACCTGTTACATACTTTTGCACGAATCTAATATACCCTTTTACTCTACGAGTAACGGGTATAATTATAAGTAACACAAGTGTACTTATTATTTTGACCACACCAAAACCGACCTTTCGCACAAATGTATGGCTAACATGGAATAGACAGGTTTTACTGTATCCATTGTATATTAAAATATTGCAGGACAGAATAACGTTTCAAAATAAAAAGGTTTGGGAGGTCTGGCCTCAATAACTATACACATATCTCTTAGCAAGTGAGGATGTAACGTGTGTACTTATTATTTTCACCAGTAGTGTATCTTCTTTATAACTCTTGATATTGCTTATAAATGTAGCTGGTCTATATTTAATAATCTCCATATCAGTGATCACTTCGCCATAACCTGGATGGTCGCTACACCAACCGACCCCGATATTACTCTAACGCTCCTCAGCCAGTTGCCCATTGGGTTTTAAAATTACTTACACAAAAAATGATAATGATCGGACCGTTAACACCAAAGATTCATATATAAACAATTCTTTCCGGGAAAACTATAAGTCCGAACGCTTTCGTTTTTTGCCATTTATCAAAATTATTTAATTAAATTATTATAATTATCTTGTCGCTGAACAAAGGGTCTTGAGGCATTGACTAAAGAAAGCGCCATCGATTTAGTCAGATATACGGTACTAGACGTTCCGAATGATGTCAAAACAGTTAACCCACTAACAGTTGATTAGGGTTATCAATTCATTGGAACAACTGAATTGATATGATAAGGGCGATTCCAATAGGATAAGCAAATATAACGACAATATCGCATTCCCTGCTTGATAAGTGGTCTGATAGGCTTATCGCACCTACTATATTGCTTCTGTAGGTCCGATTCTTTTGACTGCGACTTTAGTCTCTTTTAATCATTTGCCATCGACCGGTGCGCATTGTTTTTAAATCGTAGTACTACGAGTTCTACGAATCACAACTTAGTGATTCATTTTCAATCGATTTTATAAAAAAAATGATTTACCTACGTAAATAATAACAAGGTATATAGAAAGAGTGATCAATTTGTGCAAATATTTAAAATGAGTTTAAAGTGCAGATCTCCTTGCTTATGGTTTTACAACAATTTATTTCCAGTTTTTTATAAATTTTATTTTAAATATTTTTAAGTTTTATTTCTTTTTTTAATTTTTTTTTTCTAATATAGAAGGAATTTAAAAAAAGAGTAGCTCGACTATCAAATACCCGATACTTGCGTGGGAATATTAATATTATTAATATTAATATTAATATTAAATTAATAATTCGGACATTAATTTGTCATTGCCTATTATCGGAAAAATCTGCACAACATATAAATTAAAGTCAATATACACTCTGCAAAGGTATAAATATAAGTCATGTTTACTTTTAGCAAATGAAAGCAGGTAATCTTCATTTTGGGCCAGCCCCATTATCAGAACATTATAAACCATCGACGAATCCCTCCTCGGCAGCACTTTATGTGACGCTTATCAGATGAGTACAATAATAATTTGGGACTATACAATGACCAGGGTAAATTAGGCACCCTTACTAACCATCGGTTTCGATTTATAAATCCAGTTTAGCGTAATGCAGCGTTATTAAAGGATGTATAACAGCTTTTTCGGCTTCTTGTTTTGCTTATAGTTTAATTACAGTTGGACAGCAAAGTGGTCTGTTTATGAGAGTCGAGGAAGTTTTAAATCAAAGGTCCTAAAACCAGAATGGCATTTATAAGCCTGGGCAACCGAAGATATGTCCGCCTTTGGCCAGTCCTCATACTTCTCACTGTGGCACTCCTGCTCATTTGGAGGAACTTGCAGCAGGCTCAGAAGCTAGCCGAAAATGCCAAAATCGGTGGGCAAAAATCGGCAGATCTATTGCCTAACGATTCGCTTCGAAGCAATTTTCCCGCAGAAGACTACCAGGATTATGAAGAGCCACCTAAGTCCATCCGCCGAGAGGATTCTCCACGCACGAAGGATCTACAGGAATTGCTCAAGTGCCGGAACCGATCGATCCGTTTCCAGAGACTCCAGCATGGAGAGTTCTGGCTGCTCCAGAATCTAGTGATTGGGAGAAAGAGTCTACAAGTCGGCTGCGCCGAGTCAGTGACGTACACCACCAATGGGGATTATACGTTCTTCGACAATCTTGAAACGGTGGCCTCACGGTGAGTGCTCCGCAACTAAAGTTTGTTATCGCCTCGAATCGGGTACCAGATATATGTATAGTTTTTCTAGGAACAGTTACGGTCAGATTAATAGCCCTGAACTAAAAAACAGAGCTTAAAAGCATAAAATTTATCATTATGCTAACCAAAATAATACTACAAACTTACAACAAAAATGATCCACTTAAAATATTAAGTGCTAAAACTTCTGTTTTTAAGATAAGAAACTATTTATAAAGTACTGTCCAACTTTAATCACTTGAAATTTTTAGTCCAAAAGACTATTTTCTATTTTTGTAAGTCTTTTAATGCTATTACGTTCTAATTTCAAGGGTTTCCGTTTATTTTCCGGCGTTTCGAAGAATTTTCAACTATAAATGATTAAAATACTCTTAGAAAACTGCATTTATGAAATACCACATTATTCCTAACTATTTTTTAATAAATCCATACATCTTACCTATAAAATTTGCAGTTGGCGAGCTCCAGTGAGCTTTGCTATTCATACGCCTGGATATGATTTGAACGTCACTCTGGATGCGATTCGGTATGTCCGAAACTGTTTGCCGGAGAGCGAGAGCATTAGGGACTGGGTCACCTTCCACGTGTACTTCCCGAACCGTCACATGCCAGATTTCGTACCATATGACGAGGCCGGGGTCCTGGGGCAACCGTACTTCTGCACCCTGGCCAATGGATCCCAAGTTCCGCCGCCCTACACACTTGTCGCTCGCAACGAAAGCTACAGGGCGGTGGCAAACCTCACCTACCCAATAAATGTGGGCAGGAATATAGCCCGGCAGGCGGCCAACACCCACTTCATCTTCGCCTGCGACATTGAGCTGTATCCCAGCCTGGGCTTCGTAGATCAGTTCCTGGACATGGTGGCCAGGAATCACAGTGTTTTAGCCCTGGACCCCAAACAGCCGAGGAGGGTGTATCCCCTGCCTGTCTTCGAGATTGAGACTGGAGTCCAAATTCCCGCCGACAAGGCCGAGCTACTGACTCTTTATCGAAACAAGCAGGCACAGGTGTTCCACCTGAAGGTCTGCCCCACATGCCACATGATTCCAGGGCAGGAAGCATGGTTAAATCAAAGCTCTAGCGCTGAGGATCAGCTGCATTTGTTCAGCAAGACTCTGCGGAAAAATAAATTCAAAGCCTGGGAGCCTTTCTACATAAGCGATAACACTGAACCGCTCTTCGATGAGCGAGTTACCTGGGAGGGACAGTCAAACAAGCGCATACAGGTGGGTAATACAAAAAACCTCGACTATCAAATACCCTTTATTCAGCATGCATCAAAGCAACTGCTTGCACTGCTTGAATTTCATTATTTGCTCATAACTTTTTAATGAACGGTTCGATTTGAAATGTTTCTTCTACATTTCGATAGGTATTATTAAGAACAACTAAATTGCATTTATACTTTTTCGAAATCGTTAAAGATGTGAACGCTCAACCTTATTTAAATTGGAAGTTAAACACACATTAATTACATATACCATCGCTTTATTTCAGAATTTCGCCATGTGCCTGTTGGGCTACGAGTACCACGTATTAAGTCCGGCATTTTTGGTTCACAGTCCCGGAATCAAGGAATTCAGCAAGAACGGTTCTTCTCGACTTCAATATGCGAAGGAAATGACGAAATTTATCAAGAACAAAATCGAACCCGAGTATAGAGTGTTGTACGGACAGAACTCGGCCTGCAGAACGTGATATTAAGTCCATTACTTATTACTAATTTATTACTCCTTTTTGTTATATTTTATTATTATAAAGTTTTTAAATTATTATTCATTGTAAACGACTCTTGTTTACCTCTTACCTCTTAGTGCATAACTACTGTGTTCAAGTAAAAGCTAAGTAAATGTGAAAATGTTGGTCGCAATCAAAGATTATGATAAAGTACTTTAGGTTAATAAGGATCTTGCCCCGAGGGATGACTTAGTTGTGTAAAAAAAATGTACCGTATCCCAAAATAAAATTAAAAAATGTATAATTTAGTTTTTCTTTGAAAAACATCGACATGCCACAAAATTTTCTAGATCTTAACTTTTTCTTTGTGTAAATAGTCTTCATTAATCGCATTGCGTAGCAAGACGTTTGATAAGAGCTCCTGCCGCTGGAAATAGTCAGATGAGATATCGTCAGGTGCTTTTTGTGGAACTCGACTATCAGATACTTCGTCCTGCCACCATTTCGACTGCGGCAAATCCCACAATTTTTGTCCTGCCTTGGGCATAACATAAATAATTATTGGTTGTTGTGAGGTCAAATAACTCGTTGTTAGTTGCTTGTGAGATATTCCACCAGGTATAGGGTTCAAGGGGTCGGTACCATAGAGTCGTTGGTATCGTTCAGTCCGCACCAGGAACATAATTTGCACGAAAGCAATTAATGTCAATGTATCATACGCGACAAGCACTAAAAATAAAGCATTTTATCATAAAAGTTTTGGTGCAATTCTTGTGTCTTACTTGCGTAGAACGTTAGAGCAAGGGTTAGCAGGATTAAGGTGCCCAAGGGTACGATATGCCTGGCAATCCGAAGGGAAACAATGGATAGGACAACCACTTGGACAGTGAAAATAAATTCGAAGATAGCCAACGGTATAACGTGGTACTTCTTGAGCTGTATTAAAAAAAATAAAATATTATTATTATTATTATTAAACTGTTATTATTTCGGTGATATCAAACATTTATTAGGACTGAGATTAATTCACCTTGTATGCCCCAAAGGCCGCCAAAAAGCAAGTTATAATATGACAAAAGCTGTAGAGTTGGAGAAACATCATCAGCTCCTTGGGATCTGTGAAAAAGTGAGTGAATGTTAGTTAAAAAAAACAAATAAAGAACTAACAAAAATTTATAAAAAGGTATAGTGTCATTTTCCCATTCAAGGAGTCATTGGCGGATCCAGAACATTTTTATATGTAATTCATAACTTTTAAAAATTCTTCAATAGCTAAATTAATTTCATCATTTTGTATGCGTACATAATTAGGTTCATTCGGTACACGAAAATTCCCTTGAATGCCATTATCGGCGACTACAACATTCAACTTACACTTTTCCGCCCAGTCAGCCCATTCCCTTATAAGCTTGCTAGTCCTATAATGATTTTCCAGGATGTTAGTCAGCAAGAAGAGGAACGAGGTTCCATCGGTGAATATCATCCACATAATGACAGTGCTTTTCATCTAAAAACGGCAGAAGATTAAGTACTAAAGGCCCTAATATTTCGTTAGAAACTCACGGTGGCAAAGCAGCAAATGCACAGGACACCAAGTCGCACGGAGGCACAGAAAAAGTAGCTCTCCATAAGAACCATGTTGTCGCAGGACAAGTTGGGCTAACAATTCCAGTTTGCGTGAACATTGTGTAGTTTGCTCTTCGAGATCTGACCAACGAATGATAGATGTGTTGGCCATTGAAACCTGAATTTGAGGCCTTTGACTATGGACTCCATTACCGCATGGTATTCAGATTGGCATCTAGAACATGGTTTTGTCATTTACCGGGCGGTAATTACTCCGATTTTGTTGTTAGCTTAGCTAACTCACCGCAGTTTCTTAGTTCAGTTCTGATTTATGGACCGACATTACCAGTAATACCAAATTCAATATGTTATTTATGGAATCCTATATGTGCTATTGCTCTGTGCGACTCGGAGTCATTATCGTTTCGGTTTTGACTATTGTAAGTGACTATACATTTTCTGTTTACCAAATAATATCAAGCCTTTCCTTCTTTTAGATACGAAGCTTAGCTCAGAGTCTAACCCTTTTCTTGATGGGCGTCAAAGTCTTTGAGCCATTAATCGATTTGTTCGAGCACGATGCGGAGTACAAGGACAGGAAGTGGGTTAGAAAATACATCAGTTGGAGTGAAAACTGTAAGACATCCACGAAGGACTTGAATATATCACAATTATATCTTATTTTTTATATTTAGCCCCCGAAAGCTTCTCTGCGGTTTTTCAGGTTATATCCTTTGCTCATATGGGAGTTGCCTTCCTAAGTATTTGGGGTGCTTTGAAGGTATATCTCAGATTAAGTAATTATATTGCTTTTAATTAATAATCGCTCCTATTAGTTAAAGAAATGGCTTGTGCTCCCCTTGGCCGCATTCGAGTTTGTCTACTTCATAAATATTACTTTTCTTCACATTGTTCTAATGATCATGCTCAAGAAGCAGATTAACTTGGGCTTACTAATAATTCTCACACTTTTGGGCTGTTTTTATATACGTAAGTAATTACTTTAATTAATATTATAATATTTAAATTTTAGAAATGTATAACTTGATTTTGTCTTCTCTCAGTTTTTGTGGGTTACAATGCCATCACCTGTGTGGCCATGTTCCAGATCATATGCCTTGTGAAAAGTGCCCGTTATCGCGAGCTCTATGGGGAGGATCCCTTCCATCCGCTGGCCATGACAACTAGTACTTCAAAGGACTCGGAAAAGTCGCCCCAGGTTCTTCGTATGTACGACATGCACGACACCAACATTGACGAGCAGAAGCGGCTGAGCAAGATGGGATTGTGGCCACGCCGTCATCCGCCGGTGGTTGCCGTCCTTCCCGCCCAGACGCGGTATCCGCAGCCCCAGCTGAAGTGGTGGCAGCAGCAGGCTCTGAACACCTCCGATGATCACCTGCAGGATCAGTCCGTCCACCGCAACTGGCAGCCAATGGAGCTCCTCAACGGAGTGGGCGGCGAGTTGCAACGCAAAAGTGACCTCAATCGACGTTACGCCGAGAACCAGATGCATCGATGGTACTAATCGAGGTCACTGTGATACGGAAAAATTATTACAATTTGAAAATAATACTTTGAAAAGACACAGGTCGAGCAGAACCGATTATAATGTAAAACGCATATAATAAAATATTTTTTTAAATTCTAATTCTGTTCCTTTTAAATATAGCACCAGCTTACAAACCAAAAATGTTTAAAAATTGAATGTCTTGAATTTGATTTCACTTTGTGGGGGTCCAGAATGGCTCTATTGAGCATTTTGACGATTATATTTGGAAAACTTGTGTAATTAATGTGAGAACGCAATAAAATTATTTTCAAACTTTAAAAACGCTGAGAGGAGCACCGATTTCTCACCATTTCCAAATCCTAACCCCAATGGCTAAGAAGCAGAGTGAATATAAAAGGCCTTATCTACTTATTCAATAAGTCTTCGATTCCTCTTTTCTGCACTTTACCGAGCTAAGCAATTCAGAGATCCGTCCTCAACAATATCCTTGGTTCTCCACCAGGACCAAAGTTTCTATCTCCCTCGGTTTGCTGCCTGGGCTTTTGGTGGACACTTTGCATAAACGGCACTACAGATTATGCAACTGTCTGCGAGACACTTTGCATATCCTGGACCAGGAAGCGGGATGCTTCAATGGCCGGTTCGACTTACAAATGCTTTTCCCATTTTACATTCCCAACAAAGTGCACAGCGACCGGAATAGTGACCGAGTAGGTGAGTGGGGCGAAAGAGACAGCAAGTGAGCTGCAGAAAAGGATGGAAATACTTGGCGCACCATTGTGTTGGGCGGACGACAAAAATCAAATGCTTAACAATTGGTGACGCCGGCAATGGACCATGAGTCGTTGTGGATAAGGCAAGGAATTCGGGACTGGCATTCAACGATGCTCTCCCTCCTTTTATTTTGTTGTCTATGTTGTCTATCTGCCAACTGAAATCCCGGCCACATGGACATGACTTGTTCTCAGGAGATTTCTGCGTTATGTGCTGACAGTTTTGTTGACTGCTGACTATTTGGTGTGCTGCCTCTGATGCCACTGGGATTGCAGCTGCTGCTCCTGCTGGCCCAACTTTTTAATAATTTAATTAAAAGTTGTAGAAAAAATTAGATTTCCAAGTCAATCAGAGCTGGTACTGTTATTTAGACTACAAGCTGTGGCATACATGCAAAAATATGAAGAAAATTAACAGTGCACTTTTAATATTAGATACAAATTTTTATATTGAGTTAATTATTCCTAACTAAAAGATTGTACCAAGGTAATGATTTTAAAATCTAAAAGCAAAGTGTTTTCCATTTGTTTTGTCTATTTTTATTGACTTGCTTGGCTACTTCCTATAAATCGCTGAGTGCTGTAAGCTCAGCTAATCCTTTTGCTACCATCTTCCAGGCAAACGTTTCTTGACGGCGCCCAAAGGACATCAACAAAGTCTTTAGTGCACGGCTAGGATACACGTAAGACGATACGTGTCGCTGATTATCTGCCGTGTGCTTAGTACTGGATTAAGTTGCCAAAAAAACGTGGTATGGATGCCAAGAGACTTCACCTTGTCGCGAACAAAATGTTCAGGTGGGGATTTTTGAAGAACATTTCAGAATATAAGAGTAAAAGAAAGACAAATTTTCTTAAAATATTTTCAGAGACATAATTTTTTGGGCGTTTATATGTTTTTCTAAGAATTTTTGGGTAGGGGATATTTTTGCGAACTTCGAGGTAAATAAATGCCAGATTAAATTTTCTGAAACATAACTTCCTATTAGGAAGATCCTAAGCTAATGTCCGTAGAAAGTCTCTGTTTACCTTTTTTTGGTTAAGGTATTTTTAAATTTGTGTACTTGCATGAGACCGAATTTCCGTACTCTTGTTAAAAATATCACTGCCGGCAGTGCTTTTAAAATAATTTAAAGTGTTTACTGCCCAGTTCAAGTCCGCTCCTGGTTGAGTAAACTGCTATTCTGGGCAGGCTCAACAAGTGGATGGGACCGTTTAGGGCTCGAGGAGGAATGTAACAGTTTGACTAGTAGACATGCTGCAAAGATTTTTAATTTAATGTGCGTGTATGTGCAAAGCTGAAGAGGATTTGACCCAGGACGCAACTGGAAAGTGAATTAAAGATTAACTTGGAGTGATTTGCGAATCTTGTGAAATAACTAAATTGAAAATTTATGGAATAAAACATTATCCCGCATATTTTATTTGATGACAGCTGAAAATTGCACTTCGGGCTTACTAACTTATTCAATTCGGTTTGGTAGGTTTGGTAGGATGAATACCAAAAGTATTTACCGACGTCCCCACCCAGTGATTTATTAATGGATTACTTTTACACATTTATTCCCAGCAGTAAATAATATAAATTTTTGGGCAAGTTTTTGCGCAAAATGGTTTGCAATAAGGACATTTTTAAATTACAATTTCTGCTCAAATTGTGGGCAGATGATGCTCGGTGCGATGAAGGAGGTTTGCGTTCTTGTTCAGGGGCTGCAGCTTTACGTAGTCTTGATGCGGGTGGTGATGATGCTGTGTGCTAGGCAGCAGCGGTAATGATGTGTTCGAAGTCTGTAAATAAAGGATAGTTATTGATTACTTAAAGTTTGCTTATTGTGAGGGCCAACTAATAGACACTCGAATTTGGTAACCAAATTTCGTATTTACTATATATGGTATATATTTATATACGGCTAAAAATACTAAGCCGTGAATTCTTTAGCGAAGGATGGATTTAAAATACTTTGGATTTTGTAAATCGTTTATAAATTCGGTATGCTAACCAAATTTGGTATACACTGTAAGTGGTATATACTGATATTTATGACTAAAAAATACTAAGCCGCGAATTCTTTAGCAAAGGATGGGTAAACTAGACTTTGGACCTCGTAAACCGTTTATACGATCGGCAGATGTCTGATTTGCTCACCTTTGATTTATCTCGGGCAGCCGCGATGGCCGCCGCCTGGGCCTGACCCGTCTGGAGCTGCTGGGCCGCCGTGGCCAGCATGAACTGCTGGGAGGCGAGCTGCTGCTGGCGGAGATTAGCCGCCTCCAGGCTGTTGACATGCTCTAGCTCCCGCTGCTTGGCGATATAGTCGTCGAAGTAGGAGTGCTTTGTGAGCTTCTCGCAGGACCAGCGCTTGGCCGGGTCCTTGTCCAGGCACTTCTTGAGAAAGTCGATGGTCAAGGGGTTCTGTTGCGACTTGGCCGGCATCTTGTCCTCCAGGGGCTCCAGCGTGGGCGGCACCGGCAGCGTGATGCCCTTGAAATACTCGTTCTGACCGAAGATCTGGATGTGGCGCGGCAGCAGATCGCCGAGGGTCTTGCGGATCAGGTAGAGCTGGTCCACATCGCTACGTCCCGGCCAGAGGGCCTCGCCCCGCACCAGTTCGGCGAACAGGCAACCGATGGCCCACACGTCCACGGGGGTCCCGTACTGGGTATCGCCCACGAGGAGCTCCGGCGCCCTGTACCACCTGGTGGCCACGTAGTCCGTGTAGTTCTCGCCCGGACTGAGCATCCTGGCGAAGCCGAAGTCGCACAGCTTCACCTGACCCTGGGCCGTCAGCAGGATGTTCTCCGGCTTGATGTCCCGGTGCAGACATCCCTGCTTGTGGCAGTAGGCCACTCCCAGCAGCGTCTGGTAGCAGATCTGTTTGGTCAAGTGCTCCGGACAACCCTGCGGATGATGCTCCAGCTCGTGGAGCACGGTCAGCTCGCAAAACTCGAAGACCAGGTGGAGGCGCCGCTTCCGTCGGAACACTTCCAGCAGGGAGACTAGGTTCGGATGCTTGAGGTTCTGCAAAGTGGAAATTTTGTTCGTTAATAAGATTTCAACAATTTTTATTAAAAGAAAGATAGTATTTTTCTGAGTGACAAACAAGAGACAAATTGCGTAGAAACGGACAAACGGACGGACAAACGGACACGGGTATAAAAACTGGTGCAAGGGTATAAAAATAACTGGAGTATCCGATAGTTAATTGAATTGAATTGTAGAATTGTGTAAATTAGTTCAAATTAATAAACATAAAATCACTAAAAAAACTTTTTAAATTACAGTGCTTGACTGCTTAAAATATGGGCGCAATTTGTGAAGTGTTTTGAAAAGTTTTGAACTAATGCATATCATGTTTAATTATTGTTTCCTTCAAAATCGAATGGAATGGATTTTCTGTTCGATACTCACGACTTGTGAGGAATCAGCAGGCGGTCGACACTTACCTTCAGTAGCCTAATTTCTCTCAGTGCAATTTTTCGAATGGCTGGATCGTCTTCAGACTCCACAAACCTCTTCACGGCAACCAAAGCACCCGTCTCCCGATCCCGGCACTTGTAGACCACACCATAGGACCCCTCGCCCAACCGACTGAGCTTCTCGTAGCGATCCATTTTGCTGCTACCTTGCGGTCTGTAAGGAAGTTGGCAGAGAAGAGTTATTCCGGAATTCCCACTTTGTATTGCGGCTAGCGTTTAGTTTGAGTTACGAGTGGATTTTACCTTAAGCTCAAACATTGACCACGTTTGATGTTTGCACGTCGCATTGCTTTGCATTGAGCACATAAAATGTTTATAAATTTTTCTGTTTGATAGCTCAGACACGAACACATGTGGGATCTCAGGGGCACTTGAATGTATACGAGTATGGAGTGATTTTCGTTCTGGTATTTGTTTGGTTAGCTGTTTCACGATGTTTATGTGTATGAATATTTACAAGTTTTTCATTTTGGATATGATTTATTTTTAGGATGTCCAGAACATTGTGAAGGTTTGGTTACACGAATTCGGTATGATTTGGTTAGTTGATTTCGATGGAATGAAACAAAAAACAAATACGAAAACGTTTAGAATGGGCACATTTATTAATAACATAAAAATTATAGACAATATTTGGGAACAAATTGGTGAAACAATTTTGTTTAAATAATTTGTTTAAAAGTTAAGTGCTGTTAGACTGTTCAAAATTCTAAAACTTACACAGAAAATAAACTTTTTGGCTGTATTGATTTATGCCGGATTTATTAACTCTTTTGTCTGTAGAGCTAAATAAATCGATATTGTGAGAGCTCTATTACCATTAGATTTAACAACCCTAATAATTATCTCCCTTCAGTCAATAGGCACGAAAACAAAATCGATTTTCTGGTCCCAAGTGCATAAAATGATATCAATAAAAAAAAAATGGCATTAAAAAATATAACATTTACAACATTTTTACTTAAAATGCCCAATTATAAAGTTCTTATTTTTCAATTAATATTTGCCCCAAATTTGTAAAGTAAAACTAATCGGAAATGTGAATGTTCGTTTTCTATTAGATACGAAACCAAGACTAATTAACTTCCCAGCAAGAGCACGACAACTAAATCGATTTTTTCCCCTTCTGTTCAAAGGAGTACGTCTCTTTGAAATTGGCATTACGAGGCTGGTCGAGGACTCTATAAGTTGACAGTTCAATGCCAACAACAAAGCCCGGGGTAATTGAACTTTACCCGAGGCTTGGCTTTTCTGCATCTTTTCTAACATGTGTGTAGGTCATAAACAGAACATGCAATTAAATATTTGTGTGCTGGTGGGAGGTGGTTGGCACAAATATCAAAAAAAGAAGGCAACACAGGACACTGAAAAGGTAGCAAGCAGATGACTTACCTAGGCACCCATCTGGCTAAAATCTGACGAATTTGCCACTAAAGTGATATATTGAATTGTGGATGAATTGGATTTACTGTTGAAAAGGATCTGTGAAGGTCTACGATACACACCATGCGCCAAATTTTCTTCTACGCCCCGTCGATCAATAATTATTTGAATGGGTAGACCGCTTGAACGGACGTATGTTTTGACTGACAACCAACCACTGAATAGGGGAATGCTCCCGGGTTCTCAGTTCTGAGGTCTCTGGTCCCAGGTCGACTCCACCCCACTGGCCAATGTCATAGCAATGCGACCAAAGCTAACAAAGCAAAAAACCACAACAAAACCAAATCCATGCGCAGTTGCCCCAAAGTTGTTCAAGAAGTTTCTCCCCTTTGTTGTTTTTTTCCAGAGACGACGACGACCGGAAGACATTCAAGGTGTGCTTCTTTGGCTTTCTTCGCCGCTTTCCCCGTATTCCCAACATTTTGAGGTTAGCTGGCGGAGTTCTTACGAACTGGGTTCTTTGACATAGATTGTTGGAGGATTCTTTGTGGCTAAACTGGTGCAGCAGTGCAATGTCGCTACGTGAGTTCCTTGGGGTGGATTTTATTTCGGGGTTCCTTATTATACCCGTTACTCGTAGAGTAAAAGGGTATATTGTATTCGTGCAAAAGTATGTAACAGGTAGAAGGAAGCGTTTCCGACCCCATAAAGTATATATATTCTTGATCAGGATCACTAGCCGAGTCGATCTAGCCATGTCCGTCTGTCCGTCTGTCTGTCTGTCTGTCTGTCTGTCTGTCTGTCCGTCTGTCCGTATGAACGCTGAGATCTCGGAAACTATAGAAGCTAGAAGATTGGCATTTTGCATGCAGATTCTAGGAATTCCTACGCAGCGCAAGTTTGTTTCAAAATGGTGCCACGCCCCCTCTAACGCCCACCATCGCTTATATACGATTTTAAAAATTTTAATATTTTGGAAAAGTAAAAATGCAGTTTTATTGTGTTTATCAATACCTATCGAAATGTAGAAGAAATTTTTCAAATCGGACCATTCGTTAAAAAGTTATGCGTGATCAACGTTTTCTATCTCTATCTCCATCTCCCTCGCACTCCCTTTACCTGAGTAACGGGTATCTGATAGTCGGGGCATCCGACTATAACGTTCCCTCTTGTTACTTATTAATGTTTGGATCGCTGTGCAATTATAACACTACTAGGGGTAGCTTTTCCTCGTTGAGCTTCGTTAATATTCCTGGTTAGCTAATTTGTTTGCCAAGAGTCTCTTATGTTCTAACTTTTAGAATTTCATAATTGCAGTTATCCGACATGCAATGAGTTGAGTCACTTAAAATATTTGTAAGGAGTTTTAGCCCCTTAAGCTTCTGAATTTCACATTGTTCTTTGATTATTTAATTTATTGCCCTACCTTCGCAATGAGAACAATTTTGAAATTTCAAACATTTTCATTGTACAACCGAATTTTCGCCAGTACACTATTTTTCTATATTTAGTCTGCTTTTCGGGCCTTCGTGTTTACTTCACTTGGTCTAAAAAAAGAGTCGCGAAATCCGTTTGACAGAACGACACGATGTGAAGACGGTAAGAGCCGGCAAACGACTGAGGAGCTTTTTGTTAGAGCCGTGTTTGGAGAGACCTGGAGTTTTTGTGGGCGCTCGATTGCATCAACGGACATTGCACATACGACGTGTTGGCCGCTGGCGACTTTGATTCCTATGTTTTTTGTTTGCCCGGGTCTCGCGTGCTTCATTAAATATGCATTAAAATGCAATGGAACAACACGAAGGTGAGCGTCTAAAATAAATTAGGAACGATTATCACGCATACGAAATGTGCAATAACTAAGGTACATATAAAAGGATTCAATTTGTCAGGAGCACTCATTCTCGATTTCCCTCATGATTCACGTTTTCGAACGATGGAAGGACGTGGCAGCAGCACCCCGCTGATTTCTTCAATTCAATTTGCATAATTACAGAGAATTTCAGTCGACGCCATTCCCCTTAGCTGCTTGCCTATTTATACATTTGACAGCTTTTGTTTTCCGCGTAAGCACTTTAACTTTCCCACCTTGATTTTTCCTTTATTCGTATTATTGTGGCTTTTAATTGTATTTTTCCATTAATTGTTCTATTTAGCTGTTTGCACACCGTAGTAATGTTGGTTTGATGTTTGCATTCGGTGTTGGGGTCAACACTTCCCAGTACAGGGAAGCTATTGTGTATTTACCTTTATGATATTGACCCCTGACATTTGGGTAAAATAGAGTCACAAGCAGCTTGTATATTTAACATGAATGTTTTTTGAGGTGTATTGAAAGAGAATGGGAAAAATACTTAGTTTGGAAAAAGGTAACTATGAAAAGTTTAGATTTATCAATGAGATTTGTTTTTTTTTTCATGTTAATAGAATTCATCCTTATATGTTTGTAAATATGGAAATGTATTGCAAATTTAAATAAAATAGTTTTGATTTTATATTAAAAATGAGTTAGCAAATGATTGTCTATAAAATGAATTTTCTAAATGTATTATTGCGAAAATTGGGTATTGAGATTCGTTTCTAACTAATCTATTTGATGAAAAAATCGATATTTATTATTATACCTCATAATTTACCGGAACTGGATTAACACAAGATCGCTAGCTAACTATTCTAAAACGGTTCGGTTATAGTTTTTGTGCCATTACTTGTGACTAAAATATTTTCTTTGTATTGAGATAGTCTTCCCCAGTGTGTGTACTTGTAAATATAGAAATAATATGTCGGGCCAAGAAAAGTTGTTTTGCAAAACCTCAACGTTGCCTTGCGAAGTCCGTGAACCTTTTGCCCATAAAAATATTGCGCGGTGGCGGTTGTGTTGTGGATGGGTTGTGTTGACGTGGCCTTTTGGGAAAACAAGCGTAAAATGCAATAAATAACAGGCCATTAATGCCAAATGCTCACACACGCACCGCCGAGCGATCCAAACTTTGTGCGAGGCCTGTGCAAAAAGCATTGCATACTTACGGGCGACCAAAAAGGAGGGAGGAGGTGAAAAAGCCATATGCGTGTGAAATTAAAGGCCAAGGCCGTTGCAACACCAGCCGACTCAAATGTCATTGGGAAAAAGTTGATCCTCTTCGCTGGTTTTTGCACACTATTTCACTTTCATTCCGCAAAAAGTTTGCGAAGCTAATTAGGCCCACGAACAGGGCTAATCGACCCACCTGAACTCCCGGGTCTCGACTAAATCCGGCTCATTGCACACCTGGATCTTCTGTATGAGGCGGTAGAGGAAGGAGTTCTGGAAGGACTGCGGCAAGTAGTGCGAGTAGCTATGAAACATTGCACGTCGCAGGAGGTTCGCACGGCTGCAGGGTCCCAGGATGACTAAGGTTCAGTCCGACGGTCTCCCGTCTATTTATTTTATCGATACATGATTTCAAATGCAGCGGACATCATGAATACTTTATACAGGCAGTGTCATTCCTTCTCAGACAGGTGCAAAAAAAAATACGGCTCTGTTCCTGACGTGTCTCGTGTCGGCAGTGCTTTTTCATTTGGTTTGAGATTTTTTTTGCATCAGAAAACATGCGGCCGGGTGAAGGCAAAGGAACATGCAAATGAGTCAGGCGCATTTTGCGAGAAGTGAGAGTTGCGACGGCAGGCCAACGAGAATTTGCCACATGCCACACTGAGGCACACGAAATCAGTGGTTCAAGCCGGGCCAAAGAAAGCGACTCGAAGGGGATTCAATTATGTAAGGTGAGCCGGGCTCCGGCGAGGTTGGAATTCACTGTGGGAATGAGAGCGACTGTCAAATGCCAGCAAAGGCAAATACCCAGCTGGCGAACTTAAATCGCGAATGAAACCCAACATTGCCTATTTTTGGAGTATAGGACGCTAGACTACGAAATTACCCACATTAGGTTCAATTTTAGTTGAATGCACTGTAAAGCAATGAGGAACACATGGTGCCGTGCCTCGACCATCAGATACCCCTTACGCTCTTGACCAACTCTAAAATACATTTTCCGCGAGATGAAGATGGTGCCACTAATGAAGCGAAGCAGTCTGAATTTCTTAGAAACTAATTGTATGATGGATTGAACAAATATATTGTGGATAACAACTTGCCTCTACCATTTCAAGCTGGGTCAAATTATCTATTTCTTATAGATTACGTGATCTCGACGATCATATAGAAGACGGACATGGCTAGATTGATTTAAATCCGCATAAAACTGTTTTGAAATAATGGCCAAACTAAAATAATTTAAGAATTTATTCCATCAAATTTAAATACAAAAAATTAATAAAATACAGTAAAATAAAAAAAAATTATAATAATCGCCAAGTAAACTATCTTAAGCGAGCTGAAGGCGATTTGCTGCTATATTTCTGCAATAAACTCTTTGTTACCTTAGAGATTTAACTATAAGTTAGCGTTAGAAAATAAAAAATAATAATTCCAACAAATTTGATGTGGTATACGTTAATATAGCTTAGATCATTATTTTTTCCAGTCTGATAAACAATAATTTTCTTTCAGCCCCTGCGACAGCATAAAATTATTTCGTCAATGACGTATGTTCCATCAAAACAATGATTCTCTTATTTTTATCTATTACTCCATATTCTCTTTTGGGTTCCGTTGAAGCAGAAGCGCGAATGGCGTTGACATGTGCCGAAAAAGGAGGAAAGCATTAAAAACCGCTATATCATCCGCTACCATAAGTATGCAATATTCTTTTCGAGCTGCTTGTCTAGCCTGTCAGAAATTGGATGGTAAGCGTGGAGCAGTGGAGATGGGTAGATGGGGTTATGGGGACCAAGTCCTAACATCGAACGCATTTCAATGCAATTTGATGTCTCTGTACTTGATTTCTTTTCTGCTCGCTTTTGTTCTTTTCGATCCTTTTTTGTTAGCACACATATTCGTTTTGATTGAATTTCAATTTGATTGGAGTTTTTGTCTTCGTTCAGTCCTGTGGCTTGTTGGTAAGTTTTTGTGTAAGTTGAGTAGCTTTTAACTGTCAACTTTGGGCGTTCAAAGGATGTAACTAAATGTTGGTCAGGGAACGTAATATTCAGAACGTTTACCATTGATTTCCAGAACGTATTCACCGTAAGGCTATGCACAGGCCTTAAGGTCAAGTCAAAACAATATCAGGGCCAATTCTTTATCTGCGCGCCAATCTTCAAGTTCAAGTTTGTGGCAAAACAACACAGCAATGTTTTAATACAACCTTTCTCTGCCATTCAATGCAATGCAATGTGCCGAATATGACTTACCTTCTGGGCAGAAGTGGAAGATGGTTACCAAACAGCCAGAGACGTTTTTCGCCAAACCATTTGTCCATAGACAAGCATTCAATAATTGTTCAGAAAATTGATTTTAAGACGCGTTAATACTCGTAGACGTTTTAAATGGATTTTCGCATCCTACACACGATTCAAGATGAATTAATTTTCACACGCGGGATGCGAGACAAAATTCCGCGTCCGTTGGCTGAGAAATGTTAACAAACTTTGTTTATGGCCCGTAGTCCACAGCGTAAACGTAGCCGGAATTTTTATGTGCGCCGGCATTGAAAACGCCGAAGACAATGGGAAGGAGTTTTCAGGGGGTAAGGCTTGTTGGGGTGTTCTTGACGGTTGACATTGGCAACGCGTTCAGGGAACAAAAATATAAATCCGGCGTGCAAAGTGTCGGGGGCCGGATTGAGGGTTGCTTTCCCTGTATATTTTTGTTATTAACAGTGTTGTTATAGCTCAAGCCGTTGTTTATGTTTTGCGTTGTCAATCTGTTGTCATTAAAAACAAACAACAAATTTGAACAAAGTTTACGCTTTGATTTCCAATGCTTCTAATAACGTTATTTTCTAGCGGAATTATTATGATAAAATGGGGTAAAAGGGAATTCGCTTATAGGGCAATTTATCTGAGATTAGGTGTTATTCTCTGTTGTGTTCAATATAGGTTGTTAAATGAGTTACTGATTTTTGATAAAATATATTTTTTTCCGTTTTATTGCGTGACAATAACGTGCCCTTGCCCTACATTTTGTAATCTTAATCATCACTAGAAAAAAGCAGTTAAGGTATTATCCAATTAAATTTGATTAATGTAAAAATAATAGAATATTCAAATAAAACTTTTTGTAGAAAGGTGATAAAAAATTGACTAATTTATTATTTTCATTGCATACGTTCACTGTTTTTACTGGGAGTTTCAAAATGTATCTTTTGGTTTGTCTGACCATGAGAATCAAAAATAATTTCTGATAAAATAAAAGCCGGTTTCGGCGTAAAGCCAAAGCTTTCTGGAGACCTACCAGAGGTAATAACTCTATCGGAGCCGCAAAAGCTTTCAACTAGCCAATTTTAGGGCTGGCAACGCCTCGAGCATTTTCCGGTTGTCAAAGTAACGGTAATAGGGAAATTGTGAAACTTCACCGCCAACCAATACATATGCATCAAGAAGACACCCAACACACACATAGAAACCAAAAGCCGGTAAGCACATGCAAAAACTCTAACACACAGGTATACCAATGCATTTATACCCGTGTGCTTACACATACACTGTTTTTTTTGTGCGTTGAATGCGTTTTGCATTTTAAGCTTTTCTCTTCCTCTTCGTCTGCTATTTTATTTTCATTTTTTGAGGGGATTTTCAGATTTTTTTTGGTGCGATTTTATTGTTTTTCCAGCGGCAACGCAAAACAAAAACACAAAAGAATGGCCGAAATGAGATAACCTTTAAAAGCTGCTCGTATGCTAAAACTAAATAACGGCATTAGAGCCAAATGGCAACCAGGACATAGAGGTAGACCAACTGCAAGTCCTCATGTGTATGTGTGTGGGTAGTAATGCCAGTTGTTTGGGGCACAGCAACAGAAGCCATTCCTCTCAAGTTCTTTTACTTCTCTCCGGCTTTTATACTCACTACATCACGGTATATTGAATTTCATTCATCTTTGTGGGGCTAAACATAATAATTAGGGATCAGATTCTAGGTGAAATCGTTTTCTAAGTACGATTAAGATACACAGTTATGATTTTTCATTAGTCCTTACACACAAACAAAAAAAACGTCGCAGTCAAAGCGATATGCGCATGGTAAATTTATGGTATTGCATTCGCATGTCGTTTTTACAGGAATCTCTCTCTCAGTGATTCTCAGACTTCTAAAAAGAGAGGCAATAGAGCGATATAGCGCTGCAAGTGAGGCACATTTGGAGTGGCCTGCTTACATTTTGGGC